GGAGATAAAAAACCCTGTCCTTAGCCTTGTCACGACACCTTTAATTTGTCTGACAGATGAGCAAAGGTACACACAGGAGAGAAGAAAAGGGCAGTACTTGACAGGGCAGGGATGACAGAAAAGGACACACAGGAAAGGGTGGGTTATTAGCAAAAGCGATAGCCGTGGAGCAGGTAATTATTAACGGGACGATACGGGCAGCGCAGTCCACTTCCAAAATGCACGCCAGTAAGAGCATCTCTCCGCCAGCGCTGAGCGCCTCGGTTGTCACTGAAAGTAGCAGGTGGGGGAGGGACCCGCTACGACTTCCTGCGCACACGGGACAGGCCATGTGGCATTCTTCAGGATCTTAAACACAACAGTGACATGTTTTCTCATCCCTCACACGCACTGGTGAGGCCTCTAAACACACCCCCAGAAAGTAAAACCTGGCATCAGCTACACCTGCCAGGAGTTATTTTTTATTCTACGGAAGCTCTGAGGTTTAACAACCTACTACAGGAACAGTTTAAAACAGAACCAAACACTGCAGCTCGCAGTTACACACAAGTCGCCCTCTTCAAATGAAACTCGAACACCTTCCGATCGCTGACAGCCGGATTTGAAACGTTCCGATTCACCTGATGTGACGTGGAGAGAGGAGCCCTTGGAACAGATACAAAAAGGCAGACTTTACAGTGATGTTTCTCACCAACGAGGCTGGTTCCGGGGCCAAGAGAGTCAGGCCACTTCAGGAACACAAGCAATTTCTAAGTCTAAGTGGGTTTTCACCAGATGTAGAGGTCTCCAGATAAACACGCGTCTCTTCAAGCCAGAGGACTCTCAGTCCACACCCTGCTCTTTCTCAGACATGCCCTTTAAATGCCACCCTGAATAATTCCAGGCAACAGAGTTGAATCTCAAAATCCGTCAGGGGCGAGGGATCGTGAGTTAGTTTTGAGAAGGAAGGGAAGTAAGAGAGACTGGGGAACGGGTTTGCATGTGTCATCTGCCCTGTCTCCTCGTCCTCTTTGCCGTCAGGGACACAGGGAGACAAGGTCGCCGGGGCTGACCTGATGGATCGGCTGGGCCCCAGGACCCAGGGAAGCACGTTAATGAAATGCATCCTTAAAAAGTCGACATGCTCTTTGCCTGGGGCCCGTGGACAGGCTCCAGGAAGTCATAAAACCCTGACATTTTGCTTAAGAATTCTGTGTATATGATATCACGTGCATTTTTATTCAAAGAGTCTTTAAAACTTTTGCAAGATTCCAAAAGATGCCCAATGGCCCAACAAAGCTGCAGAGGTCTTGCGTGAGAAACACTAGCCAGATGCAAACGGCATTGTCCTGAGATAGTCTCCATGTGACATTTGGGTTGTGTTTGAGACTCTGTGGCCGTCAGCTGTTCTTACACCCCCATTAGGCAAAGTACAACTCCCTTCTGCCTGGAGAGGATACTGATATTCAGGTACTTCAAAAAAAAGTGTATCGACTTTTTCTGCTTCTTACAAGCAAACTCAAATGTAGAGTGGAAAGCATGTGTTAAAACTGGGTGTCACAACTTCCCGTAGATTTGAAATTATTTCCAAATAAAAGTTTAAATAAGAATGAATCGGGTGTGATCTGCACTTGCTACTATATTCAGAAACTCCCATGGGCCCAGGTTTAATAATCCAGATATCTCCTTTCTCCCTAAATACAGTGTTTAAAATCATCGTCCCGCTCTGCATTAAACTGTCGTTTTCTTTAAGCTGCAAAATTAGTCAAACGTCACCACTTCCCAGGTGGTGCGGGAGCCTGTGAGCCGTGCGGCACCACAACGATGGGTCCCAAGGGGAGAATGATGAGATAGATGAACAAAAAAACCCACAATGCGGTCAGAATAAACGGGACCCTCTCATTATTTCACAGGGTTTTTACTCTCCCCGCCAAAACAGAAATACATCAAACAGTGGTCATAAAGCTTTTCTGAACTCTCACTGATCTCCCCACAAAATTGCTCCCTTGGTCACGGCCAGAGGCGGCTCAGTGACCCAGCCTTCGGCCCGCCAGCTCAGTGGAACACCACTCAGGGCCCAGGGAGCTGTCCCAGCTGCTCCTTCGTGGACCGCAGGCTCCCACGGGACGACTCGGCACACCCTTGTGTTCCATACAGAAGGTTGTGACTCTCAGTGACAATGGCGGGCTGGGGGACGTGGGGGGGGGGCAGTGGGGGGGGATGGAGAAGGACTCCTCCATCAGTACAAGAACTTGATTTTTAAAGAGCTTCACTTTCAATACTGAGCTCCTCTGGCAAGGGACTGCTTCCTACTTATTTTGTATCTGATATTTCTTATTTATTTTTCTGTCCTGAGTAGCACAATGTCTGGTACTCAGTAAGTGCTAAATAATTGTTTAAGGCTTTTTTTTTTTGCACCGCCTGCTTGTCTATGCCACCATGAACTTCTTAGAAAACCACCGATCCATCTGTGATGGTTAACTGGAGCCCAGCGCCGTGACAACCTCTGAATTAGGACACCATAGTCCAAAGTAAGTTTCCCTGTGAATATCACACCATCTAACGGTCCTGATTTCTTTACACTAACGGCACTCTTACATCTATCTTTAAAAAATTATTGTTTTATTTTTTATGTCTATCTCGAGGGAGCTAGAACAGAGATTACTTTTGGTATCAAGAAGAGAATTGAAAAGTTAATCCAAGCCACCTTCTACAGACATTCAATAAATGCAAAGGATGAATCAAGGGAAAGCAGGATTGAAGCTCCCGCCAATCTCATGACTCATCAGTTACGGAAGTGAAAGGAATTCCTGGACATTTCTGAGAGAGACTAAACCTCCAAGCTCAAGGCCTCTCAGAGTGACTGCCCATGGTTAGCATGATATTGTGAGTTTAATTATTTTTTGAAATCAACCCTATAAAACCTAAAGAATGATTTGCATTGCATTTATGGTTATCCTCATGCTAGCTGGGACCGAAGGGCTATTTAGCGATGGTTAAAAAGTTAGGAAACAATTTTTAAGACTCCAACTTTCAATTTTGGTTGTATAAACTGTGGCAAAGATTACATGAAGCCACACAACTATATTAAGGGAGAATCTTTTCATTTTTAGAGGCCTAATGGTTAAGTCGTATGTAGGACACATACAGTATTCAGAAGGATGAGCTTCAGACAAGAGGGGGGGCACAGAAAAGATTGGTTCAGAGAGGGCAGAAAATTCCTCTAGAAATCTGTAACTGGCTGCATGTCACAGATTAAATGACAGCTCTCCGTTGAATGGAAATGTATTCAGTAGTGGGAACACTTGTTTATGTTGAATCACAAGTGCTTCTCGTTGTCCAGGGAACTTGACATCTAATAAGCGATCAAGCTACAAACTTTGCTTTTGTTGTGCCCAACACGCCAGACTCTACACTCAATGCAGAAGGAAAAGAGGAACAGGGAATTTCAGATGGGAACAATGAATTTCAGTTTTGAGTAAACAGGGGGAGAATTCCAATTCTGGAAACACACGGGGAAGGAGTTAGGTCACCTTAAATGCCTCGTCAGATTTGTATATGTTGTTTAAAAGATAGATTACAATTCAGGTTTTAACTTTTTCGACTAACTCTGACTAGTCAGCAGATCTCTTTGTTGCCAGAAAACTAGCAGAGGAAAAAAAAAATCCAAACAAACTGAGAAAGAAAACATCTTCACCAAAACAGTGGGTACAGACGTTTTTCATGCCTCTTGTCACTAAAACATGTCATTGGCACGATGAGCGGCGTTTGAACCAATCTGTGAACCTGGGTAATTAGTCCTGGAGGAAATGTTCCCTCTGGAAAGTCATGCACAAGCCAAAATTAAACTAAAACTGAAAATGAAATATTCTCCTCCTAAATGAGCATTTATGCACAGTCAGGGAGCGGTATGGACGAATCCACCATTTACATTCATCCTGCATCTCTGTGTTTTCCCACTGGGGACGGTGGCTGGTCTTTTAGCAGTGCACTAGGAGACAGTACAATTATCCTCAGAGTGGACCTGCTGCTGAAATACTGATGAGTGCAAGGCCTCTGCTACCTTCCACTGAGTGACAGATGGAACAACTTGGGAATTTATGAGGAAACACTCAGATCAAAGGACCGCAAAAAGTAAAAGAGAAATAAAGGTAAAACAGAAAAACTGTCAAAGGCAAAACTGGCCTGTGATGCCTTAGCTAAAGTATTGGTATGTTCTGATTTAGGACTGTACCCTTCTTCAGAATGAAGCTTTCAAATGATAATACTCGATTTCATAGTTAAAATTCACCCCTCTGCACAGATGAATTTAAAGTCCATAAGCATGTAAGCCTGTGATTGTTACTGGAGTCTATACTTCGTTCAGGTGATTAGCACGTGACACCCTGAAATCATAAATATGGGTTCAATTCCCACACGGATCAACTTTACACCCTCCTGTCGATGCGAAAACCACACATTCCTAGAGAAGCAACTTGGAGGCTCTGCTTTGGAGCCACAGAGAAGCGGGATAGTAATAATAATTATTATCCTAATTATTGTTAGCTTTTCAAACCTGGGTAAGTTACGCACTCTGAGCCTCAGTTTCCTTGCCTGTAAAAGGCAGATAATACAGGTCTCACAGCCATTACCCTGAGGTGGGTGTTGGTTGCAATATGTACACAATGTTTGTAAAGAACCGAAAGTGGAGACAGGCACGAGGTCAGACTTGGCAGGTACCTTCTTGCTTGCAGTCTGAGCTCAGAGCAGCACTTCCAGTGCAGACGAAGGTGCTCACGAGTCTCTGGCTTTAAGCACTTTAATTCATGATCAATGGTAGCTCAGGATCCTGGGAAGCTCCATTATATCTTAAACATTCTCATAGCCACATTTTTTTTTTTTTGCATAGGGAGGGGGACTTTTGCTTTAACTCTCCACCCAACCCCTTACAAAAATAACTTGGTGACACAGAAACCAGAATAGTGTGACCCTAGCTCACGACGCCATTAGCCTCGAAACATGTACTTTATTTTACTTCTTACCTTTTCGATTTTTTCATCCAGCATTCTGAAGAATTCTTGTTGGCTCTCAGAGATGTGCATGCTGAAACACAAAGAGCAGTTCAGTGCATATTTCAATGTTTTCGTAAACCTGCCTCCCTCAAGAAAAATGCTGAGTCCCTAAACGCGGAGGCAGACACTGTAGACTTTTCCACTGAAACACTCTGAAGTTATAGTAGGAATGAGTGTTATTACAGCGATCCTACAAATGCACTTTATAATCGTCGATCCGTGCCTATGATTGAAGACATACGATTTCCTTTCACTGTACACGTTATTTATAGTGATGTTACTGGGAGGCGTGTGCCACATTTTTTCTTCAGATACACAACTGGTGATTTAGAAAAGCACAGGCAAGTAAGCACAGGGCACATTCCCACCCTGCGTGTAACCGTACACAAATATACCCTAGTTATCACATGGAGACGTGTGTTTTACAAAGGTTGCCAGCATCAGCATGCTATCCAGCTGACCGTCTAGCTGTGGGCTGGCAGCAAGTCTGCTGAGAACTCGCCATTGGCCCCGAACACTGATTGGCATCAGTGACAGCGAACGTGCTTTTCTGGGATGGGAATTCCATTGGGATAAAGGAGGAAGTCAGGAGGCGGGTCTGGGTGGTGCCGGCCCTGCGTCTGCATCCCATAACCGCATACACGGCCAGGTGAACGTGGTCCCATGGGTGAGGAGAGCAGAGCAGCTCGCTGATGGGAAGCGCAGGCGGAGGAAGGGGCCTGGAGGCGAAGTGGTTTTAATGACCGTAGTGTCTACCTGGCGCACAGCTGTGGGTCCCAAGGAGGTTCAGGGTGCTGGGGTGAGAGACGCACTGCACGGTGCTTCTTACCCCTACTGTTAGTGTCTATTTGCTGTCGTGGCTGCAGAGGGCGGGTGGGGAGCGTGGCTCTGGAATAGCCCCTTCCCTTCAAGTCTAGACAGGGTGAACGGCCCTCAGCATGGCGCCTCATCCGTTAGGGCTCGCAGACAGTGACACAAGTGACCCCACACCCTTCAGCCCTCCCATGGCAGATAGTGGGGCTCCAAGGAGGCTTCCCCCCGTGTGGAACACTGAAATTTAAAGTCTGGGGGCACAATGACATCAGCTCTGACGTCAAAGGCAAACAGTAAGCCCACCTGGGCCACGATCAACATTCACGGGTATAAAGCACGTCTACGTGTGCCACGTAAATCTGCCTCCGCCACGTGATCGTGACATGAGGTAGGTGCCCTGCCTCAGACACAGGCTGCGTTCCATTCTCGCAGGTTAGGAAGGCGGGGCAGAATCTGGGATGATGAGAATGTAAACAGTCTCCTCTGTCTCTGGCTGGGCAGAAGAGCCATCGTGCACAGCTGAGCTTTCCCAGACGCCTCTTGGTTTTCCTTTCAGTGGCAAACATTTTTTACTTGAGCCACTTTGGATGCACGGTTTCTAAACTGCACACTCCCTCGTAGAGGCGCCATCACAAACATTATTTAACTCTCGCTTCACGACCGGCAGCCCCTTCCAGGGTCTTAAATCACAACAGACTTCTGGGAAACCCTGAGAACCGTCTTTAAGCAAAATGGCCCTGAGCTCCAGGCTGGTGTTCTTCACCTGGGTTTGAGCTTTTCTCTCGTTTCTTCCAGTCGGAGGAGGTATCAGTCGTCTTTTGGTTTTCTTCCCCGTCGTTGCCTCTACCCTATGCTTGGAACCAGTGTGGCTAGGTTGTTAGAACCGTGTCTATAGCTGTGTAAGTGGGCTCCAAGGGGGAGCCTGGGGGACTTCGTGTGAGCTGGGACACGAGCAGCCTGGCACCCACGGTGGCTGTCCAGACAGGATTTGGGAACCTCTCCTGATACTGGCCAAGCTCTCCGCAGATAAGGCTGCTGGGCAGCGCTGGCTGCCAGACAGGAAAGGCAGGATGACATAGATCACTTAACATACACATAACCATATATATGTTACTTTGCCCTGGAAATCCCAAGAGACCTCATAAAAACAGCATTTTTAGGATTTGATGTTCATTGTGGGAACTTTTGTGCTAAGCTTTTCAGTATACATTGCTCTGCATGTAACAGGAAGGCAATAAATGTAATATTAATTGATCTCATAGTGTCCATTTAAATGTACGTGACTCACGACCTCGGAGGGCAGCGCAGTGTCTCCGCAGGGGGGAGGGGCAGACCGCTGACTCCTCCTGTGTAAGACCCGGGGCTGGTCTGCGGTCCCTCCGGCACTCACATTCTGTGACTGCGGCTGACTTCCATGAACTCCTTCCGAGAAGGAGGGAGTTATCACATTTTCATGATCACAACGTGAAAATGAGGATGTGAGGTTAGTACTCAACATACGCACACTGGTCAGACAAAGGGGACGTCTTAAGTAAAAGGGCCTCTCCAAAGGTGTCTGCCATATCGTGGTCAACAATGCCCAGGCTCCGGGGTCCATGTCAAGGGCGTGGGACCAAAGGTGATGGTGACGACCCCAAGATGGTAAAGCAAAAACCAAAACCAAAAGCTCAGTGTTTTCATCTTTGTGTGGTTTAATACATGCTTTGTAGCCACTTACAAGCAAGACAAAACAGGTAACCCTTGATTAAAACAACTGGACAAAAGCCACACAACCAGAATTAATTAGACAGGACCGTGTATGGCCAACCCCACCTGGATCCTGAACTAAGTATTAACCTTGCTCTGGGGTAGAGGTACAAGTCAGGAAGCGAGCGAGCATCTCCACGTCCACGGGTGCCCTTTGAGAAACAGCGCTAACCAAACGGCGGTGCCGGCCTGCCTTCCGTCGGGTGCACCCCTGCGATCACACCCCGCTACAGAAACGCTGCCTGATTTTTCCCTGTCTGAGGGCGTCCCAGCAACCCGGCCTGCTTCTGCCTCACTTCAAAACCCAGCAAGCAGAGCGGTGCACCACGCTGGTTCACTGCCTTGCACCCTTGAAGTACAGTATGTGGACTGTGTTAGGAGACTGAGTGGAACAAAGGTGACTTATTTATTACCAAATCCTGATGCACACATGAGCTCTTTCAGACACACCGCTGTCCCTGGAGGTGGGGCAGACACCGGCAGGTGGCACGGATGTCCGCATGAGGTCCCTGTTATCCGGGCGTCATCCCAGGGATGAGGTACCCAAAATCAGAAGTCTTCCTAAGCTGTTTCCCGTAGGTTCGTTTCAGAGAGAAGCCCTGAAGTCTCTCCCACAGGGGCAGAGGCAGAATACTTACTCTGATGAAATAAAATAGCTCACATGGACTGACTCCTGCTCAGATAAATGTCCTCTTCTCACGTGGGAACCCCATCAACACAGTGGCGTTAATAGTAGTTTTTACGTTGAAAAGTATAAACTGCACTGTGAGAAACAGCCCCTGAATTCCTAGCTAACAGCTCGACTCCTAAACGCTCCCTGTTGCACCCTTTGATGGCTGTGAGTGGGCAGCAGGGTGGGGAAAGAGCACTCCGGCTTTCTATCTCTCCTCAAGATGTTAGAAAGGAAAAACTGAATTCTTTGTGACTTGGTTTATAAAGCGTGAGTACTTGATGCTAAATTAGATGAATTTGTTTAAAAGCCCTTTATAAAAAAAGTCTGCGCACTGGTGCCTGCTTGAACTAACAAGGTTTAACAATTTCAGTAATCCTGTTTCTCTGTAATGACCACAACTCCACCTGGGAAACGCCAGCGCCCCCACGGGGGACTCGCTGTGGCCCCCAGTGGATGCCGGCAAAGCTCTTGCGAGTTAACCCTGGGCCAGCAGAGCCTCTTCCTGCTGTGACTTCCCCGCTTCACGAGGCTAGAGACGGTAACAGGATGGGATGAGCCTTACTGACAAGTAAGCGAAGGATCAGCAGGTGGGCCAAGTGAGCTTTAGAGCTGAAAGAGACGTGGCTGTTCTGTTCAGTGACTTTAAAAAAAGTTTCCAAATTACAAAAAAAAAAAAAACTTAAGCCAGCAAAGCATGAGAAGGCGAGGCCTTGATTCCCTGATACGTCAGCTGCAAAAATGAAATTCAATTATTCACTGGGTTCCCGGCACACCCTGGCCCCCACACACTGATTTCTTCACGATCGTCATGGTTATTTTTCAGCTGGACCTCCGGGAAGCGGGGCTAAGCCTAATCCCCACAACAGGACACGCCCTTGCTCGTTGTTCCAGCGTGGTGCACGCCCCCTTTCAGCCCATGGTTTTGTTTTTAAAAGAGAGTATGATGAGCGCCCATGAAAACAAAACAAGAAACCAGAGCTAGGACCTTGACAACAACCTGGAGCTACCTGACCTCCCGCGTGCTGTGTTTCAGCTGCTGTAACGTTACCGAGTGGGTCCCCTTCTGTGCGATCTTCCGGGCTCCCTCGCCCCTCCCGGTGCTACACGTGCCGGTCCGTCCGGCACTGCGCACAGCGCCGATACATTCATTTTAACTAATTTAAGTATCAACTTTAAATGAAGCGATTTAACGTTAACTTGCACACTCCACGGTGTGAACATGGTGTGGTGTATTTTTCCCAACTTCTAGTTAGAGGGCATTCGGATGGTTTCTATGACGAAGGCGTTTTTACTAAGTCATTGCCATGAGCACTGGGAGTGTGTTATTTCATGTCCTCCCCAGCCCCACGAGACACTTGCATTTTTCTCCGAGAAAACCGAAGCTCAGAGACCTTAGGCCACTTGCCCGAGATTACGAAGTCCCTAAGAACGTGCTCCACATGTTGGAGCAAAGGAAGATGTGAGAATCATCTGCCTTTGTCATTCATGAATCTCCCACTGTCTGGTCCGAGACTGTCCTTTCATTCACGGGGAAACAAAACTCATGATCTTACTCTATACCGCTGCTTAAGAAAGGAGAGTTTCCTTGATCCTGTGAATCAGCAAGCAGGAAAAGTAAAAGTCTTCTCTGGTCCTTCGGGAGGATTTCTTAGTTGAATTCCAGGAACCCAATGTTCTCACTCATTTTTACAAGACACACACACACACACACACACACACACACACAGGAGCATGCTGCTGGGTGAGGCTTTTTCTTTGTAATTTTAATGTAAAAACATGAGCCAATTTAATCAAGTTCCCCGAGGGTCGGCCCACATCACTTTGCAAAGTGTTCCGCTTCAGGGTGTCCAAGTGAAATCAGCACGCACTCTTGAAGGCAAAGACCTCGTCCTTAGTCGACAGTCTCTGCTCGGAACTCAAGAGATAAGGGAAGCATTTAAAAATAGCAGGTATCAAATGGCTGGGATGAAAAGATAGTTAGGTTCCCTCATCAGATATCTGCAGTCCCCAAAGGCAGATAAAGTTAGTGTAGATAAGAGTGATTGCCAGGGGAGTGAACCGGAGGAGCTGTGGTTACAGACAGCATCACACTCACCTAAGGGCGCTCAAACGGCTGTACCAATGTACTGACGTTAGAAATGACAAGTGGATTTTGAAATGTCTAGTTTTCTTTGAGAGCGAAGAACTAACCCCCTGAGCTCGTTCAGCACTCCCTGAAAAGTCGTAATTGCTGTTACCACAGCAGCGGTGGCTGAAGCAACTCCACAGACGCTGAGCCAGGTTAACGTGGTTCTGAACCAGGTTCTTTTTGTCTCAACTTCCTGGGGGAACCAGAGATTAACACAATATCTACCTTTGAGTTTGACTTGTGGGCCCATATATATAATGGTCTAATTTATTTTGGAGTGGGGTGATGGTGGCAATTGTGTGATCAGAAGTCTGAGGGGGCTTCCTAATATTTAGGGGGCGCCACCAGAGAGGCTTGTAGCCTCTGGGATGCCAGAGCGTCGTTGAAGAAAGGGGAGCTAGCTTCACTGTCACACAAAGTCCATTTTGTCACCAGACCAAGGTAGACTCGGTTCTAGAGCAATTTAGAAAACTACTCAGTATTTTCTTTAACTTTTTGATGGTGAAAGTCATAACACACAGTAAAGAAAACATAAAATGTTAGTTGTCCGTTTTTAAATGATAATAAAGGGACACCCCTGTAACCAACCAGATTAAGAAAGGACCCATGGTCCCACGGTCTCCCGTGCCATCAGAAAGAACCACTGTTCCTAATGGAACACCTTGCCGTCTCCTTGCTTGCCTTTATTATTTACTGGAGGCAGATACAAAACATCTTGCTCAGTTCTGCCTGTTTCTGAACTTCGTGTGAATGAAACTGCATGTAGGCAGGTACGACTGCTTGCCCTACTGCTGTAACCTTACATCGTGAGGTCCCTTCACCTTGACACGTGTGGTTATAGGTTGTTCATGGTCACTGATACGCAGTATTCCTATCGTAAGAGTGCACCCTAGTTTTGTTAGCAATTATATTTTTGGTGGACATTAGGGTTTTACCTCCAAGAGCTTCAAGAGCACACAAACACAATGGTGCTATGGATGCTTCTGCAGGCGCACATGTGCAAGGCTCTGTGTACCTGAGTGTGGAGCTGCTGGGGGGAAGGTGTGTGGAGGTACAGTTCTACTGGGTAACGCAAGCTGTTTTCCAAAGCAACTGTACCAGTTTAGATTCCTTCCCGCAGGCACCAAGGGCGCCCGTGTTCCACATCGCGGTCCACGCTTTGTATCGTCAGACTCCTAAAGCTTTGCTGATCCTGGGGTGTGGAGTGTCATTTCTCTCATGTGCACCAGCCATTCACGTTTCCTCTTCGGTGAAATGGTTGTTCATGTCTTTAGCCTGTTTTTCTGTGAGTTCTGTGTCTTTTACTCACTGATTTGCAGAAATACTTTATATCGTCTGCAAATCCAAATATTGTCAGTTACATGTGTCATAAACTGTTCCATCATCGTGTGGCTTTTACTTTCCTACAGTATGTTTCGATAAACAGTTTTTAATTTTAACGTGGCCGAAGTAATTAATCATTTTCCTTGAGATCTGTATCCCTTGTGACTTATTTAAAGTTTTTTTCTTACTGCTCAGGCATAAAGATACTCCCCCGTACTTTTTTCTCCCTGGTCACGTAAACGCCCGCCCTGCCATGCACCGCCGGGCTGTCTGGGGCTCTGCAGTCTGCTCCGCTGCACTGAACCCCACTCACTGGTCGTAATCACTCACGCTTTACAAGACGTCTTGATTATCTGGTAAGCACATTGGAATTTACTGAGGAAATAGTTTTAGCTTTAAAAACAATATAAAAAATAGGCATTAGAACTTACTTTGCTCTGGGTTGATGCACTAATCCCGGAATCTCTTTATTGGTTTTAAGTCTTGCATTGGAACTGGCACTTTTTTCCTGAAACACACAAACACACACGTGTAAAAGATGAGGTGGGAACCAGTCGTTCAACGACCGCACGAAGTTCCACCCCAGAAACGCTCTGTGTGTTGGGGACCCGTCGCTGCCGGTCACTTTGCGAGGACAGAAGTCCTTGCAAAGATGTTTCACTGTCTGGGTAGAACCGCCAAAGGTGGTCACGAAGACAGAAATTTGCTTTCTAACGGTGATGACTCAGTTTAGAAAATGGTGTGTCGTTAATATCTGATTTTTAGGTCGAGCTACTAAAAATAGGAAGAATCAAAGAGCAGAAGGCTCTGGCAGCGTCAGGAAGAGCAGAGCAGAGCAGCCCGGACAGCCGCGGCCGGCTTCCCGAGGCCGGCTGACTTGGCGTGTTGGTCTGCGACAGACGCCTGGGGTCGCCGACTCCTCAGGTTTGCACAAGGCTGCGGCAGCGACGGAGGCGAGAGGAGTAAAAACAACGACCATTTTCCGCCCACTACAAACACTGGGATTGAATTCAATTGAATTAATAATGTTCAATACTGGCCTGTGTTCAAGAGGCACTTTTTGGCTATCAGCCTAATCTGATTTCTTATTCCCAGTAAACCAGCCAGATGGGAAAGAAACATCCTCAAATCTTAACATACCGGTATATCAGTAACTGTAATACGATCACGCTGTATTTTTAGACATAATTTTTTATTTTGATTTAATTAATTTAATTAATTATTTTTTTTTTAAGAGGGAGAGAAGGGAAGAGAAGGAGAGGGAGAGAAACATCGAAGTGAGAGACAAACATTGATCGGTTGTCTCTTGAATGTGCCCCCATCGGGGACCAAACCCACAACCCAGGCACATGCCCTGACCGGGAATTGAACCAGCAAACTCTCTGCTTCGTCGCACACCTAACCAACTGAGCCACACCAGTCAGGGCTATAGCCATCATTTTTAGAAAATATATTCAAAGTGCTTTATTCTTTGCTCGTGAAACATACCCCTAACAGGAAAGAAGAGACTACTCTAAAGCAATTTAAGAGATAACCACACACTCAAGGAACCAGAGGGGTGGCAACAATTAAAGGCCTGGCTAAGGGAGGAAGAGAACTCCTGCGGGCCAACCCACCCTTCTCACCACAGGCAAAGCGATGGTCCCAAAATGAACTCTTTTGAGCTCAGATTTCTCCCAGGCCCGCAAAAGCCACTTACATCAATGAAATTCCAGTGACTTATCCGTTCTGGTGGTGGTTTGCTATTGACCATGAAACATGAGCTTATCTGTAGAACATCAGTATTCCAAAACATAGAGTAAGTGTGTGATTTTCTAGGAAAAGAAAGAATCATTGCAATTCTTTTGTAGCCTATCTTACCTTCCTTCCCTCTCGCTAAACAGGAATGTTTCCACGAACAGGTAAAGTACAAAATGTATATTGTTTTCTCTGCTGGTTGAGTCAGGGGACAACCAATGAACTTCCTAATTTCCTACAAAGCAGGCGGGAGAACAAACAGAAAATGCTAACGCACCAGCCCCAGGAGGGCACGCCCACATCCTCTTTCCACCTGGGGTGCCTGCAGTGCCTGATTTATGGGCCTGGCACTGTAAGTCCATTATTCACTGGATTATAAATTTTAGTCAATTTATAGAGCTCTGCAACTATCACCTCAGTCCAGTTTTAGAAAAATTCTCTCGTCCCAAATAATTTCCTCAGCTCTGTTTGCAGTTCTTCCCTGCTCTCAGCTGCAGTCCCGGGAAACCACAGCCTGCTTCCTGCTCACACACACGTTTGCTTTTCTAGACTCGTGTAAACGGAACAGTACCTGGCATTTTTCACTTAGCGTAACGTTTCTGAGGTCTATCCACATTGCAGCACATTTCAGCACTGCACTTACTGTAAGTGCTAAATAATACTCCAGTGGATGGCTACCCCCCTTGTGTTTATCCATTCCCCCGGAAAGTTTCTAGTAGGTGGCTGTTACGAACCACGCTGCCAGGACCGTTCGCACGCAAGTCTCTGTGAGGACACGCCTTTTCATTTCTCTCGGGTAGATTCCTGGGAGTGGAATCGAAAGACTGCATGGTAAGCGTATAGTCAAATATTTAAGATGTCGTCCAACTCTCTTCCAAAGTGGCCGCACCATGTTTTATTCCCAACAGTGGTGCGGGTGGTTCCAGCTTCTCCGCATCCCCGCCAGTGACAGATTACTGCCATTCAAGTGGGTGTCCCCTTGTGGGCTTGCTTTATTTTAAAAATGTGACTTGGAGCCCTGGCTGGCATAGCTCAGTGGATTGAATGCGGGCTGCGAACCAAAGTGTCGCAGGTTCAGTTCCCAGCCAGGGTACATTCCTGGGTTGCAGGCCATGACCCCCAGCAACCGCACATTGGTGTTTCTCTCTCTCTCTCTCTATCACCCTCCCTTCCCTCTCTAAAAATAAATAAATAAAATCTTTAAAAAAAGCTTTAAAAATGTGACTTGGATTGGTCCTTATATTTCCTTGTATCCCTCAGAACACCTAGCGTCTTGCTACACGAAGCATTCACATGCTTACCGGGGAGCTGCCTTAGTATCAGGAAGTCAGTTCTGTATCTGCTTATAGACACCGTTTAACTTCTACTCTGGGTGTTTATTGGGGGGAAGGGGAGGTTTAAAGAGATGTCTTAAAAAATACAAGGAAGCAAACAAACAAAACCACGACGGGCTGGAGGAAGAAGGAAGCTGATGGGGGCCCAGATGGAGCAGACCCCACAGAGGGGTCGCGCCCGGCCACGTCTGGACGCACCGGGTGCAGAGATGGAGAGTTAGACTGGGAGGTGATGGAAAAGGCAACTAAGATGTTGTCTCCCTTGGCAAGAAAAAACTATCTTCATGGTATCTGACACTTACAAACAAAGTACCTAAAATAAAGTAGGGCCAAGGGAGACTATGTGGAAGCCAGTGAAAGGTCGGCAGGCAGTTTGCAGAGCAGTTTTTTTTTTTTTTGGTGAAATGTCAACATTTTATTAATTATTCATATATTTCTATAAGTGTTCATGATATTTATTATTGTACATTTTGTTAACATTTTATTTTCGATCACGGTTTGCGTTCCACATTATTGTGTCTTCGTTTGAGGTGTGTGCGGCATTGCGGGTTCAGGGAGCAGAGCCTCTCACGACCCGTTCCCACGGGTACCGGAGTCATCTGGATGTGTGCTAAAATGCAGATCCCCAGGCTGAGTGTCTGTGGGATCGAGGCCCAGGAATCTGCATTTCAGCCAGGAGGCCCAAGTGAAAAAAGTTCGAGAACTTCCAAGTCGGAAAAAAGATGCCTTCACGCTTAGGATCCCCCAGTTGGTTTTCCACTCAGTGGTTCTCACACTGAGCCCTGGGGTTCTGTGAGCTGCCTCGGGGTCACCAGAGAGGCCGAGTAGAGCAGAAGCCCCCTGAACTCTTCCACACCTAGGGGCTCCATCAGTTGAAAAAAGCCTCCATTTCTCCAAAGTGCTTGCAAACTAATGTCAGGTAGTGACAGGTGTACTTCAATAGCGAATCAAACAACTTTTTCTTTTGCTCAGAACTGTTTTCTTTCGCTAGGAGCAGAAGGTGCTCGTCAGTGTGGAGAGCGAACTTGTCTTTCCCTTCCTAGTTCCTCTGATGCTGGAGACAGTCAGACCATCTGTATTTACCCTGCTGCTCTCCAACCACGGGGGGAGGCGGGGGGGCGGCGTCTCCCAAAGGGGAAGTCGGGATGGCCAGAGGCACTGAGAGCTCCTTTAAAAAATTCCTCGCACTTCACCTCCCTGTTGGCGGGGGATGAAACCAGTTTTTCCCTGTCCCTTCTTTGTCTGTGTTGTTTCTCTGAGTCTGAAAGGACACAGGCAGCGGCCTCCCTGGGAGGGTCCTTGCATCGGTTCTGGGTTGGAAGTGTGGGAGAAACCTCATTTTCTTTTTGCTGGGCCCAATGGTGTAAAGAAATCCCAGGGGCCAGATGGATGCAGGAAGCTGGAGGCCTAGAGAAAAGAAGAGGGGGCGGGAATAATAGCTCCGCAGACTGCTAATGAGGGATCTGCACAGAGAGGAGATACAAAAGCACTAAAGAGAAACTCTCAAAGCGTCCCGCCCTCTGCACAGACCGCGTTTTGGGTTACACGGGGACCACTGCGTTTCAGAAAGGACGTGAAGACTGGAAAAGGCCATTTATTCATGAGAATTAGGAGGCTCAGGGGGCACATGCATATTTAAGAAATAGGAACACACTGAGCTATATAAAATAAATGAGTAATCATTCCAGCTTTGGGGAGGGACCCACAGAATGTACTCTGCAAGGAAACAAGCTCAGCCGATGTTGCACGTGTGATCTCCCGAGTGTTATTAACATGAGAGGACACTGCCTCCTTCAAATATAGAGGAATTTTATCTTCTGTCTTTCGAATGATGCTAATGAGCTGAGCCACCCTCACTCAGTGAGAATTCGGATGGTCAGCAAATGGCAAGACCCACGCTACCAGCTGCAACCCTTGACGTGGGCGCACCAGTATCGTTACAATGATGTGAAGTCGACACTGCTGTTATAATTACCTGCCCAAAGAGAGGATTTGAATTAGCAGTATTTTGCTAGAATTACTTAGTGGGAATGAAGTTGGCAAGAGAAGTCTCCACGTCATGGAAATTCTTTTTTCTATAAAATACAGCCACGCACCTCATTTTATATCCAGCAAATGTTAGGTGGGGTAAATCAGTTTTAAAACACCCAATATTTTTTCACGTAGTTGATTCTCAAGGTAGATTGGAAACATTTACAATCATCTTAAAAAAAGTAATCAGCGATGTAAGAACTTGTTCAGGACGGATGTAACTGTGTACCAACCGATCTACAGCAAAGTCTTTAAGGCACTACGCCATTAACTAAAAGGAGGAAGCTATAATAACTCCCTCCTTTTTGTAAGTTGTTACAACTTATACTGAGAGCTAGGAGTTAAGGATACTGTCAACAAGATGAAGTATCTCCAAGTTTTTCAAAAGAGTAACATATACACACCC